TTTCTTTTTGCATGAGTATTAATTTGATTTTGATTTAAGCTTTATTATAATATAATCTTTATTGGCCCATTCATAATTCTAAGTTTCAAACTTGAAATAATATATTAAAAGATAAAAACTATGAAAAAGTATAAGAAATATTTAAAAATTATATCAAAGTAAATATTTTTATGTATAAAATAAAATTTTAAAATTATATATATAATATCGGGTTGGTTTGTTTTAGTTAAAACCAAACCAACCCAAATATAGTCGGGTTTTTTTTTCAAAACCAAACCACTAGTTGGTTTTTTTTTTCCAGGTTGACTCAATTTGCGGTTTGGTTCGATTTTCTATTCGATTTTATACACCCCTACTTTGAACCAAGACCTACACTTTAATTTAACCATACTTTTTTTTATAGGTACTTCGGTTTTATTATAGCTTTAAACCATAGGTATAAAGTATTTAATTTGCTCACTACATATTTGAGTTAATTCCCTAAATGGTCACTGAAGTTTAGGGAATTGCCCTAAATATCATTTATGTTTCATTTAGGATCAAAATATCACTCAACTATCACTATTTTCCTCCAAATATACTTAAGACTTTAAAAGTTTCACTCTCTCCTAGTTGGCATGCCATGTTTTTGAAGTTTTTTCTATTAAGAGTAGACTTATTTAATTCATCAAACTCATTTAACTAAAATAATGATCTTATTATTTTCTAAAAAGTATATATTAGTTTATTAGGAAGAGTTTTCATGCTTAAGAATCTTTTATCATAATTAATTTTTTATTTTTTATGCTATGAAGAATAGTTTTTTAAAACTTACTATAATGTCTTCAATTTTGAGTACTTATAAACACATATATTAAAAAAATATTGATATGTAAATCACTCATGAATGTCAACTTACATCAATTAATCATATATTATATAATGGATCAATAATATTAAAGTTTAATTAACTATTAAAAAATAATTAATTGGGTACTTTGAAATCCATACTTACAATATCTTTTTTTTGAAAGAAAATAGAAAGTGAATAATATTTAGATTAGAAAATAAAATTTGATTTTTATTTATCAGTATATTAATCTCATATAATATGTATATTATTGAATTAAAACAGACAATTCAATTAATTATTACTTGTATTTCATGAATTTGGGATGAGATAAGAATATATATTGATGTTTAATTGTATGATAAGTTAAAATATAATATAATACAACAATAAAAGAATAAAAAAAAAAATTAAATAAAAAAAAGTTAAATAATAATTTTCTCTTTCTTACTAACTTTTTTGTCAACCTTACAAATTTATTTGAATATTTTTATAAAAAAAAAATTGCTTAAAATTTTCAAATAATTTACTTAGGGATTTTGAAAATTATCAAGTAATTATTGCACACAAAGTTTTTTTCATTGAATTTTGTTTGGTAAAAAAATATAAGGAATTAGTTTTTAATTTTTTTTTATAATCTTCATAAATTCTCATGTAATTTATATATTTATTTTTTAGAGACGTAAGTTTGATGAATTAAATAGGTCTATTATTTTTTAAATGATGATTTAATAACATGATATATCAACTAGAATAGAAGGAGACTTTTAGATATTTAATATTTATTTATTTTTTGGATAAAAAATAGTAATAATATTATTCACTTTCTATTTTTTTCAAGAAAAAAAATATTGTAAGCATAAATTTCAAAATACATAATTGATTTTACTGTAATAGTTAATTGACATTTAATATTATTGATTCATTATAAAATTTATGATTAATTGATGTAAGTTAGCATTCATGAGTGATTTGTATATCGATTTTTTTTGAATGTATATGTTTATAAGTATTCAAAATTGATGATATTATAATACGTTTTAAAAACTTATTCTTCATAACATAAAAAAAATAAAAGTTTAATTAGAATAAAAGATTATGTAAGTATGAGATTTATTCTTAATAAACTAGTATATATATTTATTTTTTAAAAAATGATATGATTATTATTTTAGTTAAATGGGTTTAATGAATCAAATTAGTTTATTATTAAAAAAAAGACTTTAATGACATGTCATGCCAACTAGGAGAGAGTGAGGCTTTTGAAGTGTCAAGTATATTTGAACGAAAATAGTGATAGTTGAATGATATTTTGATCTTTTATGAAACATAAATGATATTTCATGACAATTTCCTAATTTTGGGTGACCATCTAGGGAATTGACTCCTACATATTTGCAGTGGAACTTCAGCTTAAATGTAACTAGTGCTAATTAACTAATTAAAATGTAAGCCTAATAGATACTTAAACAAGGGATCTAATATGAAGATAAACCAAATGAAAATCCTCCCACTCAGTGTATGGTGTGGTATAAAAAAAAAATCAAAGTTTTTCTGTCCGCTTGATTAGATATTTTGAGAAATATTTTCTTAAAGAAACTAAAATAAGTTCATAAAAATAAAAAAATAACTGGTGAGAGTAAGAAAATCGAATATCGTAAATAACATTTCAGATTAGTTGTCTCTCTTCCACCCCTAACACTATTGTTCCTGTAATCAAAATATAAAAAGAAACAAAAAAAATAACAACATTAAAGTTTTAAGCCCTCAGGCCACAGAAAAATGTGCTTCCACAATTATTCAAGTTTGGGATTAATTCCTTCCAAAATAGATTAATAAAACACTATCCTACTATTGCATTAATAGTGACAATCGAAATTGCAGAACTTTAGCGAATTCAACAAACGAAATTCGTCAAAATCGAGTAAGCGACAATAAGGGCAAAAGGGGAAACTCTCTTCTCAACTCTTTAATATCTAAGAGTGTTTCTATTTAAAAGCACAGAAAATCTCGCATTATACCTATTTTTTAAGACTTAACTTTTAAAGAAATTCGAACCCCTAAAATGACCTTATGTAAATGTGCAAATTTTCACCATGCATAAAATTATATAGATGTATATTTTGGTTCCAGTGACCTTAGCTTTCTGTAAGACAAAAGAGTGACCCCATTAATTTGGATTACTAGTGGACTGACTGACCTAGTTGTCTTCAATTTTAATTGGGTTAAATTAAAGGTACGTTCTCTACTAGCCTAACACTTGATGGAGACATTATGATATTTATTTCTCTATAAATTTTTCAATATGGTTAGCTTAATTGTGTTAAATATATATATTTTAGTGATAATTAACATTTTTTAGTAAATGTTTCTAACACTTATAACGACATTATATCCAATGACAATTAACTAATATCGCTAAAAGTTTGAACACTCTTTGTTAATGTCTATATTTATTGCCACTAAAAGTTAGTTTTTGTTACAGTTAAGGCTTATTGATAGAGAAGTTAGAGTTGATCAGGTTCAATCAATTAATGTCTCATGAAGGATATAACATAATCTTACCTTCTAATTGTTTTATTTTTGTTTCACAATTTGAGAGGTTCTTGATAAATAAGTGATAGAAATTTACCTAGTTAGAATCTTCATTGTACATCACAAATAATTTTTATTTGAAACTATTTAAAAATATTAGAAATCTTCCAAAAAAAAATCCCCATCTTGACAGCTATTGGTCAATAACGGGTTACAACAGCTAGAAGTATATAAACAAAAAAGAAAAAGGAAGAATGATCCAAAGATTTGGAGAATCTTAGCAAGACCGTTTCAAAAGGATTGGCGGTCGAAAGTAAAATTTTATAAAGAGGTTTCAGTTTTTTTGAGTTGATATATATATATTTATATATATATATATAAATTGAATAATAATAATAATAATAATAATAATAATAATAATATAGTTAGTGTAATTCTATAAGTGGGGTCTGAAAATGATAGAATGTACACACACTGTACACAATGCAAGTTTTCAATGCAAAAATATAGTAATATAAAGTTAGAATAATAAAACGTAACTCAAGAATTTGAGTAACTAATATAATGATATCGAAATAGTATTTCACTGAATTTGATAAATTGATATAATGAAATTGAAATAGTGTCAACTTGTTGCAGTGCTTAAAATTTGAAGAACACAATGAAAAGCAAATTCAATCATTTTGTAAAGGAAAAAAAGATAAATATACCCCCGAACTATCGTAAATGGTATGCAGATACCCTCCGTCATACTTTTGGGACATTGGTGCCCCTGCCGTTCAAAAACTAGAACATATATGCTCTTCACTCTAACACAAGACTAAATAGGGACACGTGGCACAATCTTATCCGTCGATAAATGTCGGATCAGTGGATAAGATTATGACACGTGTATGTCCATTAGTATAAAGGATATATATGCTCTAGTTTTTGAACGGCAGGGGCACCAATGTCCCAAAAGTATGACGGAAGGTATTTGCATACCATTTACGATAGTTTGAGGGTATATTTGTCCTTTTTCCCTTTTGTAAATAGACAACAATAGATTATGCATAATGTAAAATGTTTGATTGTTTGAGAGACTTCAAAAAGGGCAACTATAAGAGAATAAAAATAATGAAAGGAGAATGAAAAAGATAAATATAAAAATAATAATGTGGTTCATGTTAATTGTAATGATATAAATGAAGCAACAAATTAAAATAGATAATCATGTAAAAAATGATACTACAATTAGTTGAAAAACTATTTCATTTCTCAATTATTACAACAATCTTCATATTAAATAAGGTGATTATACTTTCTACCCAAAAATTTCTTTTCAAAGTTAATAGTTAATGATATTTATATATATGTTGCCGCCGCAAGTCATTGCTTTAGTGACTTTATAGTCGAGCCATCTCTATATCTTAGTAGTTCAGTTGGTTGACAACTTAGCTTTCACCTTGTTAGTGATGGTTCGATTCTCCATTTTGTAATTTCTCTCATTTTCCCTGCCCCTAATTTTAGAAAAGAAAAAAAACTTTGAAGTCCTTAAGGCATTGACCTGTTCTCCTTTTAAAGTATATAAAATTGTGGTTGATCCTATAATAAACAAATTGAAGGAGTAAAAAAGCACAACAACACACAACACAAAAAAATATATTCTGTTTTGAATACTTTCATTCTACACATATATGGCTTGGATGTATAAACATATTCCTACAACATGCTTCTTTTTGGTCGTGTGTTACCTAACAATAAAAGTAGTGCCTATTCTTGGAGAAAAAGCACCTCACCCTCAGTTTCAAGTGGAACCAAAACCTAACTGCCAGAGCTCAGGTAATTAAAAAAATTCCATTTATATGTGTGTCATGGTTTAGAGTAGCCAACAAGTATCCGTCACTTTGTCATACCACTCATGCATAAAGCATAAGTGAGCTAGTCTATAATTTCATAATATGTTTATTATGGTGTGATTCGATATAATGGAGTTGAGGGTTCGCTCCGCGGCTCATGTATGCCTCGGGCGTAAATCAATGATTTTTCAAAAATTAATCGAATCGATTAGTCGATATTTTTTTTAAACAAGATTCGTATTGTCATGTTCAACTTCAGTATAAGAAAGATTGGTTGAACTTAGATCCATAAAAGGATAATCCGAAATTAATATAATATAAAATTCATAAAGATAATGCTCGAAACGAACCATTACACCCCTACCACCAGATATCACAAGTTTGGATAAATTAGTCTTTTATTGTAAAAAAAGGCGTAAGCAAACTACTTTTTAATTTACCTTTTTTCTATTTAAAAAAAATGGGGTAAGAGAAATTTAGAGAGGATTATAAGGTGCGGAATTGAACCCTTAATAATAAGATAAAAGTTCAGATAATCAACCAATTGAGTCGTAGTTTAAATAGTATTGAAAAAATGGCCAATTTTTAGTAACACTTAACCACCTCATAGGTATTGTTATTGACTTTTTTTTCATACTTGTTTTCTATCATTTTTGCTATCTAATTTTGTATCTCTTATTCACTTTTGTAGTTATGAGTTATGACCATGCAGCCCTCTTTCGAAACTTTTTAAATTTTGAATTTGTAGCAATATTTGCCTAATTCATCTATTGAGTTTGTTTCATGGTGCTTATGAAATTATTATGGTTCTTATATAGGTCCAATAATTGGATCGCAAAGAGTTTCAAATCCTTGTTCTCCAAATGCTAATTTGACGAAAACTGGCAAATCTGTAAACAAGAATCAAGCTAGAGTTCGTTCAATCAATAAGAAACAGAATCGCCATCATTATCGTTACACTCTTTCTGATAATGCATATGATCCTAATGCTGATTATGGATTGTTCACCGTAAAGATAAGTCTGGGCTCACCACAACAATATTATAGTTTAATTGTGGACACTGGTAGCCGTTGGACTTGGGTACGTTGTCGATTTTGCAGAGGAGGTTGCAGTTCAGACGATCCTCTGTATGATCCTTCAAAATCATTGTGCAAAGTTACATTATCGAACCCCTTCCATGTCAATTATGGTGATAACTCATATATATACGGCATTTGGGGATGTGATACTCTCAATATAGATGATGATCTTATTTCAATAATGAACTTTAAATTTGGTTGTGGCCTTGAAATCTTCGATGGCAATGGCGATAATTTTGTTAATGCAGCTGGAATTCTTGGACTTGGTAACGGAGACTCCTCTTTGGTATCTCAAGGTGGTGCATCAATGCAAGTGTTTAGCTATTTTGTCCCAGGAAATGGTGGTGGTGGTGCAGATCTACAATTTGGGGATAAAGCCAGAGAAAAATCTAATACTTGTACAAATCAATTTACACCAATGGTACAAGGGATCGATCAAGAGAAATACTTTATTGATTTAGTTGGTATAAGTGTAGCTGGAAACGAACTCAATGTTCCATTGACTGAATTAGGGACAATTATAGACAGTGGAACGACCATTACTCGATTGCCAGAAGTGGTATACTCTGCATTTCGTGATGCTGTTAGACAGTCCATGTCGAGTTATACATTATTAGATGAAATCGATGAGCTAATGGATACCTGCTACAGCTTAGAGGGATTAATCGAACCAATCGCGTTTCCAGAGATTATATTCCATTTTGGGCAAGAGAATACTATTGATGTGATTTTGACAAAGGAAGGAACAATATGGAGGAAAAATGGTACACTAAATTGTTTGGCTTTTGCTGCAGCAGAAAGCTATAGCATTATTGGTATTGTTCAACAGCGTGGATTCAATGTGCTTTATGATTTAGAAGGGAAAACAATTGGATTTGGCACTAACTGTACATGATTACTTGTATAATCGTTTTTAATGGTTCTTCTTGTTGTAGTATGTATTACTTGTTCCCAGGGTTTAAACTTACTCCAGCCCATGTTTGCATCAAGTTAATCAATAATTGTTTGTAATTTGTTTCTTGCCTCTCTCATTAAATTACTTAATTTTGATAAGTCGAAATAGTTAATTTGACGTGAATGTCCTGTGAAGATAAAATTTTACCCTCTCAAATTAGTGGCGGATTTAAAAATTTTAGCAAGAGGTTTAATATTTTCGAAGGATCGGAGTGAACAATAAAAAAAAAAAAAAAGGACGAATGAGCTCATAAAGAATGTATTAAAGTATCTTAAAAAAATCAAACAATATGTTAGATGACGCATTGCTTAACCGGATTCAAACCAACAACCAAGACCCCCTTGTAATTTATGTCTCTGCTTTCAGAACTCTTTCCTATCTTTGTGTTAGGAAATGTGGACTAACACAAATATATATACGGTCAAAACAGTAGACAAAAAATAGAAAAATAATGGCATTAAAATTTTTATGTGGAAATTCTTTTAAATTAGGGAAAAATCACGGGTCAAGAGTAGTAATTGATATTACTATAATAATAAATTTTTACATTGTGTAGTCATGAATACAATACTCAAATGACTACAACACACTCAAAAGAAATAATCATATTGATTTTCCATCTTATTAAAATATCGTTCACACTCTATTTTTCTTCACAAACTATTTTCTTGTATATTTTATGGGAACCTCACTTTGCTCTCTAAATAATTTTTCTCTCTATCTTGGTGTATATATTTTGAATTGGTGAGTTCATGGCCCTTTAATAGAGAATAGTGGTCTATGATGATGTAGGTAATGACATCAGTGACTAGAAGTGTTCATGATTCGGTTTGGATCAGTTATTGGTCAAAATCAAAACCAAACCAATACAATCCCTTTTTAAATTTCTAAAATCAAATCAAATCAAACCAAACGAAAAAGTTATTGTCAGTTTGGTTTAGTTTGCTCAATTTTTTTGGTTTTTTTATTTGAAAGTAATAAATTTGTTGAAAAAATAGACATCTTGATAGAAACAGATACACATATAGTACATGACAAGCCACATGAAAGCTATCGTGGATTCAATTAAGCACTAGAGTTATTATAATAAGAATAAAGTGATTCAATCTAGAAAATGTGTTACTATGTGATGTAAGGTAGGGTAAGTGCAGATAAAGTAATGAAATTTTTGTGGACTTGGTCTTAGGATTTTAATAGTTGGGTTAAAATTAAAGTGTTGGGCTTGAGAAAATGATAAAGTTAAAAACTTAAGCTACTTAAAATTTAACTAAATATTTATATTTTATTTATGAATAATATATAAATAATTATAAAAAATTTATATATAATTTCTCTGTTTGGTTTGGTTGTTTTTGCGATTTTTTTTAGTAAAATCAAAACTAAACCAAATAGTATCAATTTTCAAAATTTAAAACCAAACCTAACCAAACCACACCAAATGTCAATTATTTAATCGATTTAGTTCGGATTGCGGTTCAATTTAACTTTTTAACCATAACCATAAACAACCCTATCAGTGACCATAAGAAAATCAAACTTAGGTAGAATATTTCTTCTATGATTTATCTGCAAAGTAATACCAACTTTGACAGAGTTGCAAAAAAATCATGCAACAAATAAGGACCTGTTATAAAATGAAGTATAAAAACTAAGATAATAAGGAAGATGAGAAATAGTATGTGTAGTATTTTCTTTCACTTACTCTTGTCTTAGTTTTTAGACTTCATTTTATATCACGTTATCATCATGAGTCTCTTCATCTATGAGCATCTCCGACGGTGCATTAGCCGAAACATAAATAGTATAGAGTATATTATATTTTGCTATATAAGTCTTCTTATACTTGATAGTCTAAATTTGATGTGTCAAATGTAATTATCGTTAATGTTATCATGGATTTTTGAGCTAAATATTGGAAGGATAATTAGTACATACTTAACTGATAACCTTGTTGAAAGAATTGAACTCACCGAAATCGTTAGAAGACTAAAAGTGCATAACATGAATTTTTAATTTGGTTGATACTTTGTTGTGGTTATCACCTAGTAATACATAATTTCTTTTAAAGGAGATATAGTTGATTTAATGAATCCATATCAAAATAAAAAGGAAAAGGTATTAAAATTTCTTATGCTGACCTACATTAATTTTGATCAACATCATTGATTATTTTACACTTGTTTATCTTTCACTAGCTAATCATTTACTTCTTGAATTATTATTATAATATGTTATATGTACTAACATAACTTGTTTTATAGTTGCTTTAAAAAGGTAAGCAAACTAATATTTGAAGAAGTATTTTATTTTCCTTTGGAATCATCAAAAGGACTTTTCTATCATGAAAGATTCTTTGAAGTGGCATTGGCATGTCATTTAGCTTTGCAATTAACAAACTTGTCAATGGTAAGCTAATTGTATATTTTTGCTTTATGGTAAGCTTCCTTCATAATACTAATTACATTAATTCTAATTTGTCTACATCTGCAAAAGAGTATGCTAATTTTTGAAATTCATAAAATATGCTACATGTCATTGAGACAATTTGACATGTAGACTTTATTAGGTCCATTTATCAAGTGTGTATTTAATTCTTGGATTTTGAGGTATCATTTTATTTATTGTGATTATTAGTGTTTTCCTCTAGTTGCTTTATCTATGAATTACAATTGAAGAAAAAAAATTCTTAACTAGCAACAAATGAAGTCAATGTTGAGAATTAATTTGTTGATCTTTCAATAAGTGAATTACTCATAAAACTTTTAAATTGAAAATAGTATTCAGAGCCATCTATGAGGATCAACTCTGTTTCGTTTAGCAAAGGTAATAACTTGTATATGATCTTTTGAATTGTTATTATGACTAAATTTATTTGTGCTATTAATAACAAAGATACAATATTTTTACGCTATCAATTTTATTTTGAACTATATATGATGTCATTGATTGAGGTAAGACGGTAGAATCGAATTTCACCGCACCAAAATGGTAAGACATCGATTAAAGTCTAGATGCACCATGATGATAAGATTTTGGGTTCAAGTCCCTTTGTGTTTTGGCCTAACACGCCTTTATATGGATAACACATTGGGTTAAAGTCCCAATGCAATATATTGATGATATAATGATGACTGGGCAAATTGATAAGCTCTTGATAAAACAAAAGAAATGTGAAGATCGTCTCATTGAATATGCTCAATTCTTTGAAGTGAATGTGATAGCAATACATTAAAAATCTGAAAGATGACAAAATAATTTATGATTAAACATATGAATATGGACATGAACGGACAAAATTATAATAGTCATCATTGTGAAAGAAAGAACATTATGGATTCTCAAAATGACCTTTTAAAGAGTGAAGGTAATTTTTGTCATCAAAATGATATGAAAGGTCATTAGAAACATGTTTGTTATGAGACCTAATAATTTGATAAGTTTATAAATCCTCCATCAAAGAAAATGATGAAAAAGTGGTAATACACTTGACTTTCAAAAGTGATGTTGAGGTATGTCATACGAATATGATAAATTTCAAAGCATGACAATGAACTTCTAATGAAAGGAATAATTATGAAGCATGTATATATGATTATAGCCAATTCCTTGAAGAGAATGTGACTTGTGATAAGTATCATGAAAAGTGGACCATTCTTGAAAGTGAATGTGTCAAGAGATGATGAAAATTATAAATAAAGACATGCTCATGTATGATTTAATAAATACCACAACTCACCCCTATAGGAGGTTAGAGAGAAATAAAGAAATTTTATGTTGGTATAAATAGTTATTGGTCAAGTACTTTTAGTACATCACAAATATTGTGATACGTTTTATGATGAACTACCGAAAGGGCAAAAGAAGAAAATAATTTCTTGCCATAAAAATTGTCATTGGTTATGTATCTCTGTGCACCAAAAATATTTTGCCAGATATTAAATAAAAGGAAGGAGATTCTAATGACAAAAGTAAATCAAGAAACAAGTTTTGCTTGTAATGATTTTGACCATGACAATAATGATATAAATTTCTCTTTGAACGAGATGTCACCCCACAAACAATGTTATGAAATATGTGGTAGTATCCAATGTTAATTGTGAGCTTTGGTGAGCTAATGTGCTACTACCCAAAGAAATAAAATTGCTCATAATATTGAAATTGTAGTAAGTCTCGAAAGAAACTTTTTAAGTTTCAAAGAAATAGTCAAATAAAAAAAATATTGAGACTATAAATATGAAAAGATTTAAGATCTTCATATTACTACATCAAAGTGGGTTATAAATATTTACGTGAAAGATTATCCATATTTGCATATTGTTTGTGGTAACTAAGTATGAGCATGATGATGGAATCACATACAAAATAAACTAGAAGGTTATTGAAATAAATATCAGTTGGCATGGCCGGTTGATGACCATCCCGATTTAAATATGATACAAAAATTACAGAGAATTCACGTGGTTATATATATTGAAGAAATAATAAATTCTTCAAGAATTCTCTTGTGTTGTTTGTTCTCATGATAAGATTATCATTGCACCAGCTAAGGTTGAGATTGTATCTCTGATGTATAAAAAGGTGAATATGAGCCCGTTCACCTGTCATGTGGACCATTTACTATATATAGATGCATATATGTTATGGTCACATGTGCTTTATTATCAACTTGCAATTTAATTTTTTTGCAAAGGTTATTTACTCGAATTGATAAATCAAGAGCACATTTCAAATTATAAAATTATATTGATAATGTTGGTATATATCCAAGTGATTTAAGCAGAAATTTGATGCCTCCAATTAAAGCTAAACCATTGGTTATGAGAACAAAACTCCCAAAAGAAATTGGTATGAGATGTGTAAGTGTAGCAACACTTATACGTATCAAGCCAACAAGGTTCCCCTATCATAATTGGTTCTGGGTCAGAAACCAAATAATACTCATCTAGAAATTTAATGTTCGATATATTATTTCATTGCTCCACCATTACGGAATGCACAAAGATGAGTCCCCAAATAAGGTTGGGTGAATGTTAGATTCTCTAACATTAGGGGATGATAAGCAACTGGAAAATAAGTTATACATAATGAATTATCATTGGTATGATCCTCATTGAAGAGATAATTTAAGTTAATTGTCAGACGCATCTCTGACCCAATGTCATAATCCAGTTATAAATGCACTAATGAAAAGTCCTTGAAAGACATAATTTATGGCATGCCTGAAGAGAGATAAATTAATCGATTCAAAAGATAAAACTTCTTGAAGAAGAAAAGGAGCAAATGATCAAGATGGTCTTAATAACGAGGCAAGTGCTTTAGAAAGAGCACCATGAAATAACACTTTATAAAAACCTTGGCAAAGGTTCAGGTACCTGGAAATGATGAAAAATAAAGTGAGCTTGATAAGTTATGTCACATTAGAATCGATATCAAATAATCGTCGACGATATCTTGAATATAATGTAGCGCTCAAAATTATAAATGGTGATGAGGATCTTGATATTAAATCTATCGAGAGTTGACAAATAAATGATTGGCCAAAGTAAATACAATTCAAGTATTTCTCTATTCCCTTGGAAAAGTGATGTTTTGGACTTATTTTGTCCATATACCAGATATAATGTCAGTGGGGTAAAAATAAATTATTGTGAGATAAGAAAAATCGTAAAATATAAAATACGGGTTGTGCATTGAAAAATAAAGATTTTTCGTGAAAGTCCTGACATTATTGTATGGAGATGTATACTCCCAAGGTGGATGCAATGAGGTTTCTATCGGTCTGACAATACATGAAACACTTGAATATGCATGATGAATGATTACCATGTCTAGCTAGACAGTAAATATTATATGAAAATTCTCGAAGGATTTAAAAGGTTATAAAGCGATTCCATTGAATAATACCCCAATGGTTGTAAGATCGCATATTATAAAAATCAATTTTGATCTCATTAAAATGGTTAGAAAGTACCATGTCATAGTGCAATTGGTGCACTTATGTATCCTGCTATTATTATTCATGGTAAATAATTTTATTAGTATGCATGCAAAATATAACATCACTCTTATCGATGGAGATAATAGAGTTAATCAAATATCAATATAAATTATTATTCTGACCAATTGTGTCAAGATTTATTGATCATGAAATTGCAGGAAATTATGAAGTTTGCACTCATGAAAGTTATATATGTTCATTTGAAAATACTGTCATTTCAAATCATTCCACAAGACAGTCAATTTTACTGAAAGTGTTTGTCAGTGCTCGATTGTTGCTGCTAACAAATCAAACGAGCAATTTGTCTACATCAACAAGATCGCAAATTGTGTGTTTTTCAAAATATATATTTGGTTGAGATCAATTAACATACCCAGAGAATGTGTGATCTTCCTTCGAAAAGAGATATTCCAACAACATTATATGAAGACAATGCCTCGTGTGCTCAACTAAGAGGAGGATACATCAAAGAAGACTGAGCAAAATATATTTCATCAAAGTTCTTCTTCTTATTCATGATCTCAAAAGAAGGATGCAGCCGATGTTTAACACTTCGTATTCACCAAGACATTATCAACTTCAACCTTTGAGAAGTTAAGATAAAGATTGGAATGCGTCATCTTCGAGTTGTTAAGTGATGTCTTAATCAGGGGGAGTATAATATGCGATGCACTCTTTTTCCCTTAGTCGAGGTTTTATCTCACTGGATTTTCCTGGTAAGGTTTTTAATGAGGCAGCTACCAATGCATATTACAACTTACAAGATATGTGTACTCTTTTTCCTTCACTAGGATTTTTCCCATAGGGTTTTTCCTAGTAAGGTTTTAACGAGGCACATTATCTATTAAGACATGGACATCCAAGGGGGAGTGTTGTAAATTGGATGTCCACACTAATATGTTTAGTGGTGTAAGATTAATATACACACAAAATGCTATGTGGTGTATACTAATTAGCCATTTGATATACTTGGTTCCCAAAGTGTATACATGGTAAGATGATATCCATGTATTACACTTTGGGCACAAGTAATACAACTATATATACCCCTATTCTTGTAACAAAGAAAGAGACAAGAGTAAGTGAAAGAAAATACTACAAATACTATTTCTCATCTTTCTTATTATCTTAGTTTCTATACTTCATTTTATAACTGGACCGATAATTTCATCAATTATAAGGCTGGAACCCCACAAGGCCACACTTCGAACCAATCAACTTTTAGGACAAAGTTCAAAATTGTAGAAGGAAGACACGAGTAAATAGCTTTACAAATGAATGAATCATATCGATTTGGAAAATGAAAAAATTCGTACAAGTTATACGTTTTGTCACCTCTATGTGGAAAATATTTAAGTTATTATGCTTTCATGTTGACAATTGACTTGAGACTATATATCAATTAATACGGATATTCACTATTTTTTAAGAGTCATGCAAAATCTAAAATTAACTAGAAAAATGAACGAAGGGAGTATATTAATTACAATACCTACACAATTTGTATCAGAACCAAACCCTTAAAAATCAAATTTATCAAAATATCATCTCGAACCCGCCTTTATTTGAATCAGGGTGGCATTTAAGATCAAAACTTATCCCTATACCAAAAACTACATAAACACACAATTTACCTTACCAATATGGGTTGTGATATAGTAATAATGTTGCTGAACACGATTTGAATTTACTGATTCAGAAGCCAAAAAAATCTTACATAATTATTTTGTTTTAAATATTTAAAACATCAAATAGACAAGAAGAATCGTATAAAGTTTAAAACATCAAATAGACAAGAAGAATAGTAAAGTTTAAGAGTTGACTTAATAAAATTAAATAAAAAAATTTTTACGTGACGGCCAAGTACCCATTTTATTAAAAAAAAAAAAAAAAAAACCTAATAGAATTAAATAAAAATTCGTTTCTTAACAACTACTTAAGATCAATAATGGATCATTTCTCTACGTCAAGAGAGACCCTTTTGTCTTTTTGGAGATGGAATCAAACTCCCAATTCCTCACAAATCAACAAATTGAAACAAGAATTGAAGAAGCAGCAACATTAATTAACGTGCAAAACGAAGTACGAGCTCAAATTATTGAAAAAATAGCAGAAAAGAAGGTAAATGGAACTGCTTTCATATGCACTTCTTTTCCGTTTTATTTTATGTGATGATGTATGTAACTGTACATGAAAATTTAAAAGTTAACATGCAATATCACTTGTGAATTCTTTTTCTATTTCCGGCAAAACTTCTGATTTTAAAAAAATATTATTTTCTGAATTTTCTAAAATATATCCAACCAAATATAAAAAAGTTGAAAACTTGTCAAAAAAATATTTAGTTATCACTATAGTAAATAAATAAAGACGGTTACATGACTAAAATACTTATGGAAGACACAAAATAAAATCCGATATATGTTGGAAGAAAAAGTGACTATTTCAAACCTATAAATTAAAAACACCTTGACTATTAAAATTTAATGGTGGAATCAAATCCTTTTTCTTTTTTACCTTTAAAAAGATTTTGTGAAATATGATCTAGGCGATAAATATTACGCCAGAACTAACTTTACTTTTATATTCCTAGGCATAATTTTATCTCTATTTTTTTTCTTTTAAAACATTTTTGTTTAAATATATGTGACATGCTGAAGAAATTCATGTAATTGTTATAAATAATCTTTTTTTTATTTTATCTAAATATTTTCTCTCTCAATATATGTACAGTCAGATAAATATTTTTTACTTGAAAGATTGAAGGAGCTATTGCCTGACGAATATATAATATGGACAATAGAGTGGGAAAGATATGACTATGATTTACAATATATTTGGGATACAAAAACTCTCACTTCAGTAGAAAAGGAACCTTTATCTGTAAGTTGTTTATTTATCTTTTTTTTCTTCATTTTCCTCTTCAATTCAAATTAAGACTAATTGTGTTATGACTTTGTCAAATTAAATTTTAGTAATTATTAATTATCCCATTTTAATGACAGATTAAGACTTTGTGTTACAAAACACAACATGGGAGTAAAACTTTGGCTGATGAAAAGAGGATTTTTAGGGAAATGAGAAGAGCAAAGGAAATAGGAAGGGAAATTATAAGTCCTACAGACACAAAAATGAATCAAAATCAGGTAATTAATTAACAATATTTTGTAGGATTTGTTATTTATTTCATGATGTGGTTTTATTAACAGTCAAATAATTGAACTCTTTGTTCATTTGGATATCAGTACTTACATTAATATGTGACTTTTTAAATTCATACTTAAAATGAAATTTGAATAGAGACAATTTATATGTACTATTTTTTCTATTTCAATTTATGTGATCGTATTTGATTGAGTACGAAGTTTTACTTTGTGAGATTGTATTTAATTGAGTATAAAATTTAAGAATAAAAAAAAACTTTTGAAATGTTGTGTGATCTAAAACAAGCTATAGATCATATTGGGTGATTATAATTATCTTGTTAAGTGTAAACTGAATTTTTTAAAATTAAATTGTTACTCCCTAAATTTTATTTTGATGTGTTCAATTCATATAATACAATTTAGCTCCATATATCAATCAAATTGACTTTCAAAAAGTAAAATATGATAATTATTCTGAGACACAAGGAATACTAGATATAAAAAATGTTTTATTCTTTTTTATATTGATTAAAAAATAGAATCACATAAATTAGAACAAACGGTGGAGAAGTAGTTTATTGAAGTACTCCAATTTAAATGCATTTTATATGAATTGTTTTATGATTCATTTGGAAATAAATTAACAGCTAAAACTCTGATTTACAGGTCACATTTACTGAAATACAGAATATGAGGAGAGAAAAGAGAATTTTCAATCACAATGTGGAGAATCTCAAGAAAGAATTGGAATCTATTAAAAATGAGATTAAATCTTTGGAAAATAGTTTATATGCCATAAATCAAAAGAAGGGGGAAATATATGCTGCCATTCTTCAGCTTAAAAAGCAAAACTACACTTCTTAGTTAACAAACTATTTTTATGCTATGTAGTTCATTTTTATCAGTTCATGTGTCATTTTTTTTTATGAATATTTGGTTATTGTAATGTTTGATATTGTTATTTTAAATATTTTGTGCCCTTTAGTTGTACCTTATAATAAAAATTAAAATTTTTATTCACGCAAAATTAACAAGGTATACTTTTATATTTGTTAAATTATATTCTTCAAAAATCTAGAATTTTACTAAAATCATATGAATAGTGTTAAAAAAAATAGGGTAATCATTACTTGATTTAGTTTATAATTTTATTTTTTGCCCCTCCTTATACTAATACAAAACTCTCCATTTGGATTTTCCTAACATATTGGAAAAAAGAATTCGAGTAAAAAAGTAAAATAAAAATGAATTCAATTGATTTCATGCATATATTTGAAAAGTAAATGAAAGTTTGAGAGTAAGAGAATGTTTTCTACAACTCTTTGATATTTTGATTGAGAAAAGAGATTGTGATGTATATAATTGTTTCTAAGTGAAAAAATGTTTGAATTACAAAATACGTTATTCTGTAATTAGTTATTTTAAAATTAGTTAATCTCATTCTTATATGAGGTAAATATATATTACTATATAAGAAGAGGGAATAAGTATTCACCACAAGTCAACATGTGTTCCAATAAGAAGAGGGAATAATCAATATATTTATAAAAAGAAATGACATATAAAATAAAATGGAGAGAGTATTGGTTTTTCAAAATGAAAAAGGACAAAACACATATAAAATTAAAAGACATATAAAAAAAAGTTGGTTTAACTCTCAAACATAAAAAGTAACATATGTTATTAAAAACTTTAATAAAAAGTACTATAATTTACAATAAATAATAACTTAAAATATCTACAAGACAACAAAAAAAAGACTAATTTTTGTACTGCTTGTGTCACATAAATTAGGATTGGATGATTTTAAAATTTTAATTTTGGTTATACATTATAAAATAGACGAAAAATTGAATGATATAATTTTTTTTAAAAATAACCGAATGAATCGTCCTATCGATAACCCTAATGTTACTTCTACTCTGCTTATTTTTACTTAAATTTAGAAAGATATGCTTCATTTCTACCCTCATTCTTATCGCTACATTTATTTGCTATTTAAAATTGAAATTAAAAAGACAAATGACAACTAAGTTTCTATATATTATAACAATCTTTACTAATTTTATAACAATACATAAACTATACTCCCTCCGTCCCATATTAGATGTGCACTTCCAACTTTACACGGTGATTAAGAAATCATTAATATATTGGAAGACTTCACCATTTTGCCCTTTGTTTATATCAATGCACATTGAAATGAGTTACAAAAAATACACATACAATATAGGAATGGTCATATTAATTGTAGGGGTAAAATGAAAAAGAATTAATTAATTCTATCCTAATTTAATAAGTGCTCAAATAATATGAAAAACATATTTTTAGTAAGATTCTCATCTAATATGGGACGGAGAGAGTATTAGTTTTTGAAAATGGAAAAGGACAAAACACATATAACATTAAAAGACATATAAAAAAAAGTTGGTTTAACTCTCAAACATAAAAAGTAACATATGTTATTAAAAACTTTAATAAAAAGTACTATAATTTACAATAAATAATAACTTAAAATATCTACAAGACAACAAAAAAAACGACTAATTTTTGTACTGCTTGTGTCACATAAATTAGGATTGGGATGATTTTAAAATTTTAATTTTGGTTATACATTATAAAATAGCCGAAAAATTGAATGATATAATTTTTTTTTAAAATAACCGAATGAATCGTCCTATCGATAACCCTAATGTTACTTCTACTTGTTTGTTTTTACTTAAATTTAGAAAGATATGCTTCATTCTACCCTCAATCTTATCGCTACATTTATTTTCTATTTAAAATTGAAATTAAAAAGACAAATGACAAATAAGTTTCTATATTAGCTCACTTATGAGCAAAATATATTATAACAATCTTTACTAATTTTATAACAATACATAAACTATACTCCCTCCGTCCCATATTAGATGGACACTTCCAACTTTACACGGTGATTAAGAAATCATTAATACATTGGAAGACTTCACCATTTTGCTCTTTGTTTATATCAATGCACATTGAAATGAGTTACAAAAAATACACATACAATATAGGAATGGTCATATTAATTGTAGGGGTAAAATGAAAAAGAATTAATTAATTCTATCCTAATTTAATAAGTGCTCAAATAATATGAAAAAAATATTTTTAGTAAGATTCTCATCTAATATGGGACGGAGAGAGTAACAATATAACTTTATTAATGTTGGGCCCGGACAGCGCCCGAGCTTTCTTTACTAGTAGATATATAAAGCTGAATATCAACTCGCTGATGTGACATGTCTAAATGATCAGTATTACTATTTATCTATTTTCTCAGAATTTTCAATTTTTCCTTTCATTTTCTATTCAAAAATTTGTTAAAAACATTATTCTCTTCCTTCATTATGAGCATATATAACAGTTAACCCTTCCTTCCAAAATAAATCATGTAGTTTAGTGACTACAAAAGGAACATTAATTTGATTATATGTTTATCAAAAAAATTAACCAAAAAAAGGAATGTTAATTTGATTATATATTTATAATAAAATTAACATTAAACTTAAAAAGGAATGTCAATAACTTTAAAAAGGGAATGTTAATTTCATTATGTATTTAGAATTAATCTAACATTAACTTAAAAATGGAACGTCAATAACTTAAAAAGGAACATAAATCTTCCTTTCGGTTTTTTATTATTAACCGTTCGTTTCTTTATTTTCAATTGTTAATTACAATAGCTTTTACTATGTATTAATCTCTGAGTAGTTATATTTTAATTAATTATAGGTCTTTTCATATTCTACATTTTTGTATTATATATATAGATTGAAAATGTTTTTTTTTTCTTCACGTTGTAGCTTGCTTACTCTATTTTGCTTTTAATTAAATTGTTAGTCTGACATACTCTTCTTTTTTCCTTTTCTTTTTAATTAGATTGTTGTACTTCTAGCTTAAAGGTCGAGAGACAAATAGAAATAGTTTCTCTATTCCCTGTTCCCTGAAGTTAGGGTATTGAATCTTAGTATAATTGTATGGATCTTGTGTGTGATCTCTATTTCAAATTGTAATTTTCTTTTTGTTTGGTGATTCAGTCAGGGAAACTTTGATGGTAGAGTTGGGAATCAAGCTGCCTCTAAAACGGTAAGGTGTCTGATACATGGTTCATCGTTTGTTCTTATGATATTTCGTATAAATAAGTGTTGAGATAAATTGTGATTATACAAGTGTAAGTTAGATTAGTCCTCAGTTAGTTAGTTTTCCGTTTACTAGTTAGCTTAGCTTTCCGTTAGTTAGTTAGCTTTCCGTTAAAGTTAGTTAGTCAAGTTTTCTAGAAGATTCCCAGTTCCTGTTGTATATATATACAGTGTAATCATCTAAAGCAATACAATTTTTTGATTTCCAAGTTTCACAAACTCCTTTCTCTGTTTTTGCTTCGAAGCTCAGCTTCATGTTCATCAATGGAGAAATGTTCTTCATGATTTCGACTTGATTTCGACATGGTATCAGAGCCGTAAGGCCTTCTTCTTCATCTTCCGCGATTCCTTTTTCCTCTTTCTTTTTCCTGCGTTGTCAATTACTCATTTTTGGGAACATTATGGGATCAAATGGTGTTCAGGAAGGGACCTCTACTGGAAATCAACTACCCACTCAAGTTCCTATAGATCTGACTAGTGTGTTCTATGTTCATCCATCTAAAAGTGCTGGATCCACAATTATTCCAGTCCTTTTCGATGGATCTGGGTATCGTTCATGGAGACGAGCTGTTCTTCGAGGACTGTCTGTAAAGAATAAAACTGGGTTCATAAACGGCAAGGTATTGAAGCCACCTCTTGATTCACCTGGTTTTGCTCAATGGGAAAGGTGTGATGATATGGTCACGTCTTGGATTTTGAATTCTCTGTCTAAGGATCTCAGGGACAGTCTACAGTATGTTGATAATGCAAAAGAACTTTGGGATGAATTGGTGGAGGACAGGTATGATCAACCAAATGGAGCGAAATTATATCAGCTACAACGTGAACTCAATGATCTTAGTTAGGGGAATCTCGATATAACTGGGTACTACACCAGGATAAAGAAGTTGTGGGAAGAGCTTAACACTTTGGACACCAATTCACAATGCACATGTTTGTGCACATGTGGTGGAAAGTCGAAGATGCACAAAGCTGAACTTGACAGGAGACTAATACAGTTCCTCATGGGACTAAATGGGGTATATACTATTGTGAGAGGAAGCATATTAATGATGAACCCACTACCTACTATGGCCCAAGCTTTTTCTATCCTTATTCAGGAAGAGAGACAAAGGGAAGTCAAACCTCATAACAAACCTCATATGGACTCAAGCTTTTTTCATGTGAATGCCGCTAGCACTAGTTCTGGTTTCAGAACCAACTATAATCCTCATAAAAACAATGTGGGCACCAGCAGGCCCTCAAGCAAGTCAAATCTCTTTTGTGATTATTGTAAAAAGACTGGTCACATCAGAGAAAAGTGTTACAGGCTTCATGGTTTCCCTCCAGATTTTAAGTTCACCAAAGGTAGAAATGCAAGAACAGCAGCTAATGCAAATGGTTTTTCTGAGGATATGTTGGGAGATACTTTTGAGAAAGGTCATGATGTGGGAAAAGGCAAAGGAAAATTGCATGAACAGTGAAGTTCAATGTTAACCAAGCAGCAGTTCAACCAACTTGTGAACTTATTGGATCACATTCAAGTTCAAGGAGGCACCAATACTAGCAGCACTGCACATGAGGATGCAAGTAACTTCAATGGTGGAGCTGTCAACTTTGCAGGTATTTTGGCATGTTATTCTTCAATTTCTGATATTGGCAATCTGTCTTGCAAATGCTTAAAACTTAATGTTGATTCCTGGATTATAGACTCAGGAGCCACACACCATATGACCTTTACAAAATCCCTACTTACAAACCTCAGACCTTTACCATATTCATTCCTAATTACACTTCCAAATGGCTACAAGGTAAAAGTGACAGAAATTGGTGATGCATGTTTAAATCTATCACTGACTTTGCATAAAGTGTTATTTGTTCCTAGTTTTAAGTTCAATCTAATTTCAGTCCATTGTTTGGTTTCTCATCTTAAAGGACTGGTCAGTTTCACTAGTTCCTCTTGTTTGATGCAGGGCCCTTCACAGAAGAGCCCTCTGGAGATTGGTAGAGCATAAAATGGACTCTATTTTCTGTGCGCAAGATGTCACACTTCATGTTCTACTTCTGTTTCCACTAGATCAACTTCTGTCATTGCATTTAGTTCACCTTGTTCTGTTAATTCACCCATTGCTACTACCTTTTGCAACAATAATTCTGGTAGTTTTTCTTATCACACTTCTGTAAACACTTGTAATGACACATGTTTGAGTAATGATAATGTACTTCAAAATTGTGCTTCAAATGTTACTGCTTCTACACTAAACAACTCTATCATGTCTTGCATGTCTCATGGAAACAATGTTGATTACTTGTGGCACAATAGGCTAGGACATATACCATTTGTGAAAATGAAGGGTATTTCTAACATTCCCATACAATTTTCACCCAAACAACCCTTCACCTGCATTGTCTGCCCCATGGCTAGACAAACTAGGCTCTCATTTCCTACTAAGCCCACTATCTCTAGTAACAACCTTTTTGACCTTCTTCATATAGATTTGTAGGGACCTTATCATGTTCCCACATACAACAATTACAAGTATTTTCTAACAATAGTTGATGACTACAGTAGATCAACATGGACATACCTTTTGAGCTGCAAAAGCAACACTCTCCAAACCATGCAATCCTTCATATCTCTTATTGAGAACCAGTTCAAAACCGCTGTCAAGTCGATAAGGACTAACAATGGTTCAGAATTCACTAACAATGAAACCAATGCTTACCTCACAGCCAAAGGCATCATACACCAAAGAACTTATCCCTACACACCACAACAAAATGGTGTAGTGGAACGGAAACACAAACACCTTTTAGAAGTAGCTAGATCACTAGTTTATCAGTCCAAACTTCCAACCAAATACTGGGGGGAGTGTGTATTGACAGCCACCTACTTAATAAATAGAATTCCCAATTCAGCATTAAATAACAAAACTCCTTTTGAAATGCTGCACCATCTTCATCCCACTTATTCCCATCTTAGGTCTTTTGGATGTCTATGTTTTCCTACATTAAAGACATATAAAGACAAATTTAATCCTAGGTCCACACCTCACATTTTTGTTGGATACCCCAGCAACACAAAAGGATATAAAGTTCTAAACCTTAGTACAACAAAAATACATGTTTCCAGGGATGTAAAATTCTATGAAAACATTTTTCCTTTTGCTTTACCTAAATCTGATTCTAGTTTTGATACTGTACTACAAACTTTACATACTGATTTGAATGTGTTCAATCCCACTAATTCCACTAATGACATTTTTAACAAAGTACATGTGATGGACAATGATGCCATTTTTGATGTCACTATAAATGAATTGCCTGCACATGCACCTTTCAATGAACCTTCACCACCACCAGACACCGATCATTCATTGGCTCCCACCTCACAACCAAACACTAACCAAAACCTCCCATGTTGTTCAAATTCAAACACTACCACTACTCAACAGCCAGGCCAGCCTCCTAACCCTAGAAGATCCAGTAGACCACACATCATTCCTGCCTACCTTAAAGAATATGATTGTACCTTACCTTCTTTCCAACATAAATCATCAACCTCATCCTCTAACCTTACATTCCCTGTATCCAATCTGTCCCTCACAAGTTCCAACCAAGGAAATCAACAAATGGTTAAGAGTTTTTGTCATGACATTGAGCCATGTTCATATGAAGATGCATCACTTGACCCTGCCTGGCAGGCAGCAATGACATCAGAGTTTGAAGCCTTATATGCTAATAACACATGGGATCTTGTCAAACTGCCCATAGGGAAGAAAGCAATTGGGTGCAGGTGGGGATACAAGATCAAACATAAAGCTGATGGTACAATAGAAAGGTTGAAGGCAAGGCTTGTTGTGAAAGGTTACACTCAACAGGCTGGGATTGATTATAATGAGACATTTTCTCCAATAGTTAAAATGACTACAGTCCGAATTTTGATATGTATGGCTGTCAAGAAATGATGGAATTTGTATCAGCTAGATGTCAATAATGCATTTCTTCATGGAGACTTACATGAAGAGGTGTATATGGACACACCCCCAGGCCTCATGACAGAAAACACAGGTTTGGATTGTAAGCTCAAGAAATCTTTGTATGGGCTGAAACAAGCAAGTAGACAGTGGTATGATAAACTTGCACAAGTTCTGTGTTCAAGAGGTTATTCTCATTCAGAGAGTGACTACTTTCTATTTTTCAGGAAAACTGGAGTTTCTTTGGTGTTTGTTGTTGTTTATGTTGATGATATCATCTTGACAGGTACTGATGTTGAAGAGATTACTTCCTTAAAGAGTTACCTTCACAATGAGTTTAAGATCAAGGACTTGGGCAGACTTCAATATTTTCTTGGTTTGGAAATTTTATACCAGGATTCTGGAGTGTTGATCTCTCAAAGGAAATTCACTATGGACCTATTGAAAGAATTTGACTGTTCACATTATACACCTGTCCTGTCACCCCTTGAGTCCACAGTCAAGCTTAAAGCTGGTAAGGGTACATTGCTGAAAGATCCCATACACTACAGAAAGTTGGTTAGGAAGCTCAATTTTTTGACTAATACCAATGGACATAGCTTTTAGTGTTCAGCACCTTAGTCAATTCCTTCAACATCCTAGAGAATCACACCTCCAGGCTGCATATCATGTTCTAAGATACTTAAAAGGTGATCCATGTTTGGGCATACACTTGTCCAACAATACAGACTGTTCACTTACAGCTTATTGTGACTCAGATTGGGCTGTATGCCCTGATACAAGGAAATCAGTAAGTAGTTATGTAGTACTGATGGGAGACAGTCCTATTAGCTGGAAATCTAAGAAGCAAACAACCATATCCTTGTCCTCAGCAGAAGCAGAATACAGAGCCATCATAAAGGTGGTAGGAGAGATAGTATGGCTGGAAAGATTATTGACAGAGCTGGATTTGACATACACCTTGCCTATAACTGTTTTTTGTGATAGCCAGGCAGCTGTTCACATAGCCAAGAATCCTGTTTTCCATGAGAGGACAAAGCATATTGAGGTGGACTGCCATTTTGTTAGAGAGAAATTTCAAGCAGGGCTCATTACACTCTATTACATTCCAACTGAGAGTCAGCTTGCTGATGTTTTGACCAAGGCCCTGCCCAGTACCAAACATTCCAGCATATTGCGCAAGTTGGTTGTGAGTTCCTCACCTCCAACTTGAGGGGGGGGGGGGTGTTGAGATAAATTGTGATTATACAAGTGTAAGTTAGATTAGTCCTCAGTTAGTTAGTTTTCCGTTTACTAGTTAGCTTAGCTTTCCGTTAGTTAGTTAGCTTTCCGTTAAAGTTAGTTAGTCAAGTTTTCTAGAAGATTCCCAGTTCCTATTGTATATATATACAGTGTAATCATCTAAAGCAATACAATTTTTTGATTTCCAAGTTTCACAAACTCCTTTCTCTGTTTTTGCTTCGAAGCTCAGCTTCATGTTCATCAATGGAGAAATGTTCTTCATGATTTCTACTTGATTTCGACAATAAGAGGTTAGTAGAGTACTGGATCAGACGACAATATTTTCTTAGAGTATTTCATTTTTCTTGGATCTCTGAAAATTAAGGTCATAATGAATTGATATTAGACATGTTGATGAGGCGCTCTCTAAGACCAAGAAACCTATTTATCTACTTTCTCATAACGAATTGATAGAAGGAGGGTCAAAAGGTGACGTGAAAAGTGGTTGATAGTTTGCTAAAGCTATGTAAAGATAAGAAAATGACTTGTAAAACTCTTCTGAATAGTAGCACATTTGCATTAAAATCTATTAGGCGTTTTATGTCTATCCTGATTCATTTGTACTCCTGAACATTCCTTTGTCAAAGATTCAAATATTGGCTTTTAATGTGTATTAATATAGGAGTAAATACATTTTTTTTATTGATTTTGTGTCTTTTTATAGTCTATTTCATAATTCAACTTGCCGAATCTATATATCTTGCTTTTAATTGTATTGTTTATATGATATATTATTTTTCTAGAGTTGATTATCTATAGAGATGATTTAATGACGTTAAATTTTTTATCATGAACACAAATAGAAATTATTTTTTGAAATTTTATAAGCAAATTAAAGTGAAAAGGTAAATAATTTTTTTTAATTCTCAAATTTTAAATTTCAGCTTCAAAGTGAATTTTAAAAAAAAGAAAAGAAATTATGGCCAAACTTATATTTTCAGAATTAAACTCTCAAAAAAGTAATAATTCATGGTCAAAATGGTAAAAATGTGATGGATAAGAAGTCAAGGAAGAAAGAGAAAGAAAAAAGAAATAAAAAAAAAGAAAAAAAAAAGAAAAAGAAATAGCAAAGACATCAATTAAAGAGATGTTGTGAAAAAAATCAACAATTATTGATAATTATTGTTAGCTTTCACATATTTTTGTCCTATTTGATGGCACAAGGTAATATAAGAGATCAATCTCTCTTCAAATTTAATTGATAAAAATCAGTGGAAAGCAAATGTTAACAATAAATTAGAATAAAACTTAAATTTTAATATATAAATTATAAAAGGATAACTATTTTAAAAATTAATACCGCGAAGCATGACTAAGTTCACTAGTATAACAGTAGTTTCAAGATAAGTTATTTCCAATTTAATATGAAAAGAATATTTTGGGTATCCGACAAAGGGGCGGGTTCGGGTTCGATAAATTCTGATCCGAGGGAAGTTGGCAAAGCTTCGTCCTGTTCTTTATATAAATAAAAGTTTTCGTCTGATTCAAAAGTAACAATGGCCATCACAGGAAGACCCTCCGATAATGGAAAATCAACAGAACAAAGGGTATGTTTTCTTCTTTTTTTGGGTGAACAACGTAATAATGTTTTGTATTTTTATAACCCTCGTGTTCGGGCCAGTTTTCGCGCGCCAAACAACCTAATGTTTCTTTTTCTATATTCCTTCTTGCATTACAGTATCTCTCATTAATTATGTAGGTTTCTTTTTATGGTAAAGGGTTTTTCTGTTACAGTAAACTTTTCCGGTGAATCATTAGGAGCACACTTGATGTAGATTTGAGCAATTTAAACCTTTTTCCGGTGAATCATTAGGAGCATACTTGATATAGATTTGAGCAATTTAAACCTTTTTCCGGTGAATCATTAGGAGCATACTTGATGTAGATTTGAGCAATTTAGGGATTCGAATTACAGCTAGAGCAAAGGAAAAACTAAGAAGAGAATAGAAAGCTATAGATTCTCATTCATATGGTAAAAATGGAGTCTTCCAGCATTACATGTACTCAGCCAATTCATCTACAAAATGCAACTCTCCGTGGGATTAGATGTGCTAATTGTGTACTTACTATAACTTTCTACATTAAACATAAGGGACTAAAGAGTAATGCCGGAGTGGTGATAGCTAACTCATAACAACCCTCACTATACCATCGCGCAAGCTGAAAGTACTAATCCCATCTGCAGTTCATAATCATGTGATTGCTGGGCACATCAATAACACCCCCTCAAGGATGAAATGCAGGAAATTGAACCTTCAGGGAGTTAACATCCTCCCAAGAAGACTGATCTTCTGGCCAATGTGCCCACTGAATGGGAAATTGAGCCACAACTTTATTTCCCTTTTGAATCATCTTACGATCCAATACATTAACAGGTTGAGGACAATAGGGACTGACCATGTTCACCACTGGTGGATGAGTGATTGTCTCAGGAATAGCATGACTAGGATTGAGTAAAGAGACATGAATTGTGGGATGAATAAGCAAGTCAGGGGCAGAGACAATTTGTAAGCAACAGCTCCTACCTTCTGAATGATCATGCAAGAGCCATAATTATTTAATGACCTGCCAGTGAGGTTGTATTTTATAAGGAAAACCCAGTCACCTTCCATGAATTAGCTGTCAGACCTCTCTTCTTATTAACTTGAGGCTCCATTCTCTGCTGAGCTCTGGTGAGATGTAACTTCAGTGGCTGAAGCTTGAACTCCCTAGTGATCAAACTTCTGTCCACCTCAGGTAACTCTGAATCTCCAGCCATATATGGCAAATGTAATCGTGGTGGTTGACCATAGAGTGCCTTAAAAGCAGTTGTTTGAGTGGATGTATGAAAGGTAGCGTTGTAACCACCACTCTGAAAATGATACACTTAGCCCAATCAGAAGGTGAATTATTAGAGTAACATCTGAGATAAGTTTCCAAACATCTATTCACAATCTCAGTCTGTCCATCAGACTGAGGATGGTAGGCAATGAAAGTGTTCAAATTCACTCCTTGAATAGCAAACAACTCTTGCCACAACTTGCTAGTGAATATGAGATCCCTGTCACTGACTATATCTTCAGGCATCCCATGCAACTTGAAGATATTCTCCTTAATAGGACAACTAACTCAACAACTGAATAAGGATGGGAAATTGCCAAAAACTGAGCTTATTTAGTTAGTCTATCAACTATGACCCATATCGCAGATTTTTCTTTGAACTTGGGCAAACCTTCAATAAAATCCATACTAATACTTCCTCAAGCCAGAGCAGGTATATTCAAAAGCTGCAAAGAGACCAGGACAGGCTACTGAATCAGCCTTGCTTTTCTGACACACAACACCCTTTTGACATAAACCTCAACTTCCTTCCGACAGAACAATGCAATCACTCTTCAATTAATATGATCCATCCCAGAAATGACCTCCCATCAGTGAATCATGCCACAACTGATTATATGAACTGCTCATTATTTCTAATATAATGAACATCAAGCCGTTAGTATTATATATCATTTCATTAAGAATTTGGGGAACAGAGGTTCATTGCCTGGTACTTCACTACCTTGAAATCAAAACAGTATATTATCTGATTAATTTCCCAACTCTTTCACTTTCAGAGAGCTAATCAAGTAGTAATTTCTATATTCAGTAGGAGTATATACAATGCTTCTGTTCTTTCATTAGAAAGAGTGCACTATTCCATTGTACAAACTTTTCTGTAAATAGTGAATTCATATGTTGAAATTTGTGACGTCCGCATGAAATCAAGGCCTTTCCTCATATTATCCATCAGAAACTTGTAATTTTTTCAGGATTGTTTGCTTCATATTCTGTGAACCATAAGTCTGGATAATGCAATTCATTTGCACAAATTCTGCTTTAGGATACAGTGAACCCATCTATGCATGTCGGTACCCCTGTGACTAATAGTCCACAGGAACTTTTACAGGGATTCTGCAGTAGCCCAACAGCTGTTCAGATGTACCATATGCTTAATCAGTTTGATTTCGGTTGAAGTATGCCTCTTGGAATGAACTGTCCTCCATAGTCTGTACAACATACTCTATCAGGTAGCTCATAGGCAGAAACCAGGAAATAAGGTTGATACTTTGGTAATCAATGACAAAACCACATAGTCGGTGGTCAGTTGAACATCCTTTGTCGGAGAATTATACGTGTCTGTAAAAAGTTATGTATATATAGGTCAAAAATTACTTTTATACATATTTATTTAAATCTTGAACACCTTTTGTGAAATCCGGGCTTCGTCATTATTGCTAGTTGCTAGTTGGGAGCTGAGACTTACATATCTAATTAGAATGGCGTTATAAGGTCCTATTAAAGAAAGGAAATGTATTGTTTATTAGAAATAGGTTCTTGATTAAAAATCTTTTTCTTTCTGATCTGTTATCGTGAAATGTAATCGAGTTAGAATGCGTTCCCACTTCCCACAACTCTTTTATTGGAACAATGTCTTTTTTCCTTTTTAGGTGGTAGGAGTGTCCGAAGTTAAAAGTAATTTGGTTGCAGATGGAGTCCGGCTTGTGAAGAACTTAAATGGTAGTCTCATATCTTATCCTTGTTGAATTGTTTACTATTTGACATCATTTGCAGATTGATCTGTAAGACTTAACTTCCATTTCAAACTATTTCTTTGTGAGTCAGCTTGTAGGGCCAAATTTCAGGATATTGATCAGAGAAAACATGTAGCTGCTGCAGGAAATCTTTCTGGTATTGATGATTCTGAGGTATTTCCAATGTCCTTTGGCAGTTGAACTCAATGTCTGTGTTTGTTATGTGGTTATAGACGTCAGTGTAATCACAATTAACTTTTGATGTGGCGAAGGTTGTTGGATATCTCAATAACACGAAGGAGATTCATTACAAGAAGATCATATGGGAAAAAATGAATAAAGAGTTTGCTAAGGTATTGCCTTCTTCCATCTACTCTTCTACATAATAGTTTTAACTGTAGAGAATTTTGTCTGAAGTAATTGACACTTCTCTTAAAGAGTAAATGCCTTTCTGCTTGTTCTAGTTCGTTTTATAAGATAGACAATAGAGTATCTTCTGTGTTTCTTGTGGTGTCCTGACATATCTGTTCATCCAGATGCATTATCCTCGTTATCTTGTTTCCTGGTGGTTGTCTTCCACCTACTTGTTTGATTAGACCTGTTCATATGTTAGATTCCTCTGTTAATGTCGAAGAATTTATATCCATAGCGAAGACTGGAAGTTTAAGAAATGGAATGCCGCTAAAGCCACTTTTAGCAAGCTGTAGATAATAATATATGTTCATTGCTGCTGATCTCTCTCTCCCTCTCCCTCTCCCTATCCGAGTGGAAGATAGTTGAAAGGTGCTTTAGTAGCCTAAACTTAGGTTGCTGACAGTTAATTCATATGCAGTGATGCCCTGTTTTGATCCATGACTTCACTGTCTCCTCGCCATTTTTCATTAGGCAAACAGAAATTCACGACATAGGAATCGGCATCTAATGAACTTAGTGGTTCCAGAGTAAATGAAAGAAAAAGAAAATGGAATGGCACTGTAATGCAATCTTTCATATGCAGAGATGCAATTTCTGATCAACAACTTCACTCTCTCCTCTCCATTTTTCATTAGATAAATAGAAGTACCTTAGTCTCTGTCTTCTTAAATGTACGACTCCTCTATTGATCTACTAATGACCCATCTATTTGAAGTTGTAATTGTTCAACTTGCTTCTTTCTCAGGGTAATGATAAACTACATGCGAAGAAAAGAAAACGGGAAATTGGACATAAAAAGGATGTCCATGCTAAGAAATCTGCTAAAACAACGGAAAAAGTAGAGAACAAGGTGCGCATATACCAGCTAAACATCCTTTTTGCTCATTCTGTATTTTAGATGGTAGAATGTGCTGGTTATACTAAAATATAATTCAAATATTTTCAGAGAACAAGTTCAAAAATAAATTACAATGCTTTGCAGAAGCTGACTGATGAATTGGTACTCCTTTCTACTGCTCTCTCTTTGTGCTTTAGCTATGGATGTCCAGCGATGTGTGCTTAATGCACCTATTGTTTGTCATAGGATCTGTAAAACAGTTCCAAAAGGGAAAAAAAGAAAAGAAAAGGGGCTAATTTCATATCAGCCATTTCACGAACAAATTCTTTTGCATTTGACATTGTTCTTTGAATTGTGTTGCAGAAGCAAGTTCCTGTAGAGGCAGAGCTTGGAGGGCTGGAACCTAAGGCATGTGCAAATGGTGATTCAGCTGAAAACCTGAAAATTGGGTTCCACGAGCTTGAACAGGAGAATGAATATGGTGAAGATGATGACTCGTTTAGAGACAATGATGATGATTCATATTATGGATATGGAACTGGATACTATAACAATAGTGAAGATTTTGATGCTGATTATTGAATCGTAAATTTATAAAGATCTCTTTTTGTTATTTTTACTGAAAGCTGTAGGATGCGAAGGAACAATAGAGTAGAAGGGTTAAACAATTGAATGATCCTTTTAGTTTCTTTGGGGTTAAAAATGCAACAATGACTTAGCATTTTACTCTTGAGGTGAAATCCAAATATTGCTCCTCTCCAGTTTGAGCTAGTGCTTTGTTGGGTTCTCAGATGGTGTAAAATACCAGTGAAGTGATAGATTTCCCTCATAAAAATCCAGAAATAATAACAGTTTGACGCCTAATTATCAACATAGCAATAGTTTGGATAGTTACCAAATGTAGCGAGTTTCTGAAATTAGCTCTATGAGTGATATAATGATATAACAATTCGCTCTTTAACTGATACAACAACAGATACAAAGGAAATTGATGTATTACTGATAAAAAGTGAAGTTCAAAAGCTGTTATATTATTGACGTAGGGCAAATTTCAAAATCTCTCCTACAGACTCATCAAAGTAGAAAAATGAACTCAAGAAACAGGAATGAGAAACAATATTAAAAAACTCCTATAGAGACTCATCAAAGTAGTAAAAATGAACTCATGAAAAAGGAAAGTGAATTAATATTAAAAGAATTGTGATTCGCCAGAAGCATCCTACTGAATTGAAAGACCTCGAAATCATTCAGGTTATACAAAATAAGTTATGAGCTACTCTAGAATTTCAGCCATTTCTTTTCCTTTTCCTTGCTATGAACTGCATTTGATGCAGAGGCATGAGCAGCTTCGGCAGTGGCTATAGCTTTACGAGTTTCATTTAGCTTCCTCATAGCAGCTTCATAAACAGGCTTCTCATTTCTGTTGCGCTGCACCATTTCTTCCAGTTTCTGAGCCTGTATCCTCAACCCTTTTATCTCATCATCATATGCAACCAGAGCCCTCCTATCTTCTTTCTTCTCTTCCCCTTTTGCCTTACTTCGCCGCCTATTTCCTGTGCTGTTGTTCATGGTTTCTTCATGCACTGCAAGCTGAGTATTGATAAGACTAAACACATCTGGTCTTGATTCCTCTACTTCTTTTGCAGCCCGAGCAGCTGCTGCAAATTTCTTCTCACGTTTCCTCTTACCACCCCTACTTCTTTTCTTATGTTTTTTGTCTTCATGCTCAGCTTTCTGGTTTTTAATGGCATGGTCAAGAGATTGTTTTGGTGGAAGAACTTTCACAGGAATAGGATTCACCATTCCCTGTCCAGATGCACCTAACCCCATTCCTTCACGGTAACCCATGTTTGCCATCATCCTGGAAGCTATGCCACGTGTGTGATTCTCCCACTTAGCAAAAAGTGTTGTTTCTGTCTGGACACCACGCTGCAGGGATGTGCTTTCAACAAATCCTAACCCTTCTGGACTATCTTCTTCATAGTCACTAGAATCAGATTCTTCTGAACCCGAGTAACTCTCTTCTTCATCACTTGCCTCTGCATGTTCAGACAGTTCAATATTTTCAGCTCCAAGCGTAGCAGAACTTCCATCATCACGGAAAACAATGTGCCCCAAATTAAGCTTTTCGTCCCAAGACCCAAGTTCAGCTTTTTTCCAAAGTCCAGCTTTGCTATCTGAGCGAGCCCAGATGCAGGAACCTGCAAGTGATGAATCCCATTTCATAGGGATATACTTCTTTAACGAGGATATTGGAATGTCGATACCTGAAATAACATAAAATTAGACATCTATTGAGTGTTAAGAGGCTTGAACTAACTACAAAAACGCCATACATAATCCCACACTGATATATCCAGCAGTAGATCAGCAGTTCAATGTTTATAACAGCCACCTAAAAAAAAGAGCAAAGAAAAAATCGACCAATCGAATCCCGTATATTTCCCATGCTCATAAGTCATAGGAGTGCACTATGTTTCCGCTATACAAATATGATTTTTTTTTTTGGGCATGTCTAATAATATTCATCCTTGTTCCTTTTTTGGCATTTTTCATTTTCCGGAATATTAGCCCCCCGATTAGCATTAGCAGACTGCAGTCAACAGTGCTTAAAAACTGCAAACCGTTCAATCCGTTGCATTACAATGCAGATCATTCAAGTGTAGCAAGGGTTACAAGAGTCAATTTATCAGTCAAAACTTCTACACCAGTACAGACAACTTGACAATTATTTCTCTTTTCAAGGGAAAGATCTTTAGCTTACACAGTTAACTACTTTTATTTCAAATGAAACAAATATAATTTTTTTTTTACTACAGGATGAAAGGGAAAGCAAAGTCTGATTTCTCTCATATTTTCTCCACCAGGGATAGACACAAAGAAAGATGTGAATGTCAAACCAATTCTAAGATCTCAGTCCAGATTCTGTTCATTCCAACATACCATGTGATAAGCGGCAACTACTACCAAATCGACATCGCTGCTGTAGAAAGAACTGGCACATCTGCACCAGCGTGATCTATCATTAGCAAGTGATAAGACTAGAATCTAAGCATTCTGTGACTAGGGAAACCACAAGAAGATTCAAGAAGCAAGGACTGCATAATCTGAGAGAAGAGATATAAAAACTACTTCACTGTTTCTCAAGCAGAAAGGGAGGTGTGCTAAGATTTACCTATGAACACAAAACATACCAAAGATCAACATGAGACAAGAGTGCATCAAATTTGTAGAATGGAAATAAGCTGCTAGGACCAGCACGGCAGTTGTTGTCCAAACTATGTGGGTATATGAAAGACAGTGGAGATGAACTTTCTTAATTAGACTGATTAACAAAAACCAAACTAGCATTAGGTTCCACAATTTTTGGTACTATGATAGATGGAAAATATGCTTACAAAAAGTGAAAAGCTAAAATTAATCTTTTGTTCCGATCAATGAACTGCACTAAATCATGTAAAAATAACTATGAAGATTGTCATCAGTTCATCAATCTATGCACGTGTTTTCCGAACACTCAGTTTCAGTACCTACGAGTGTATCATTGATTTCTGTGCCACAGTCCAACTTGTATTCCTCACAAGACAAGCAAAAGCTCTTATAAATGACTGTCCTTTCAACAATTTTCATATCTATCCTTGATAATGGCAATCGGGGAAGACAAAATTATTCCTTCCAATAACCTTTTTTAATGGAAGGGCGACATAGTGAAAGTGAAGTTGATGTTAGTTTGATGTCTTCAGAGAACAATTCGGTGGTCAGAAATAGGGAGGATGCTGCATCTCATCAAATCTGTAAATGTTCATCAAAGTTCCCTTGCTTTGTATTCTGAATTATCTAAATTCTTAGACCTCATCTTCATTATTTTAAACCTTTTTAGTTTTTTTTTCTTTCTGTATCCAGTTGGGTGAGAGGTTATCACTGGTATGAGGTTTGTGGCAATCTGCTTGCACAAGGTTTGATCCCCACACAGAATGTTACAAGCAAAAGCCAAAAAGAGAGAGAACCACAAAATATTATGTGAAAGATACCACTGTGAACAAGAGGGTGAACCACAATTTGGCCTTCCTATGGCAAAAAGTTGGTATAAAAGAACTAAATATGGTTTGGTTGATACAGAATACATGAGCTTGGAGGGTAAGTTCGAGCACAACAATTACAAATGTTGCTAAAGAATGCAAACAAACTACTGAAGCATCATTAAGAAAAGGTACACACCAAATGGTCTAGACAATGCAGGATATATGGAATATAGAATCAAGCTTTATGAAGTACTAAGAGGAAACCCTATCCTTTATCAAAGTACAGAAAATATAATTAAAATGATGCAACAAAAACACCAACAACGAAAAAGAGAGATCAACTTACAAGCAGTCTTACTGAGAATAAGAAAAGTCGGTACAGAGACATGCAAAAGAGAACAGAGGGTACTCACCACCATGTTTTCAGACGTTGGAGTGCGGAAACAAACTTTTGCAAAATGAGAACCCTCCAACCCCACGATTAGACCATTATACCACCTTCCATCATTATTGCGAAATCTACATTTTGATCCAACAGCATACTCTTCATCCACTAGTGGCTCTGCTTCAATCTCTGTTGGATCAAGAGGCTCCACCTCAACCTCAGCAGTTTGCTCCTTGAAACCATGTAAAGAAGCATCAACCTCTAGCAACAACCTTGCACGTTTTAGGTGAAGAAGGCCTTCCTCAGTGTCTTTTATAGACTGAACAAGCTCTTCACGAACCTGTTTCCATAAAGATAGCAATTTCAATTATCTCCTTTCACTTTAACACAGAAAAGTACAAACCTCTATGTTATCCCAGAAAGTTTAATTTCACAATTAGATAGTCATTTTTCCTATTAAATTGAATGATGATTGTTGACATTCAACTTCTCATAACTTGCATACAGTGTTATCAAAGGCTCATTTAACTCACCCTTAAGCTCAAAACACTATGAATTTTGCACCTTTTTAAACTAAAGCCCATAGGTTAATTCCACTATGGAGCACTTTTTAGAGCTTTTTGGCTTCAACAACACTGGCATAAGTTGAAAAATATATAGTTGTTGTGCTATTCCACCCAAAACCATATCTCTAATTAAAACTTCTTTCTTCGTTTAAGGATTCAACACAATTTCATAGGAGGTTATAAAATGAATTTAAAAAAAGGAAAAAAAATGGGGGAGAAAACCCTAGGTTGTGGGAACATACCGAGAGGAGTTCAGGATCGGAAGGATCAGAGGATAGTGCTTCAGCGAGAGAATGGAGAGCGTCTTTCTGCTCATCCAATTGAATTTCCAGCTGCTCTTCCAGTGCTCTCTCTTCCTCGTCCGCCATTTCGCCGGAATACAGCTACCCCTCCTCCACGGCGAGGCCGTTTGATTATCAGTTACGATTACGGAAACAGAAAATAATTGACCCTAAATTTTCATATAACGAAATTAAATAAAAATGATTCTAGTAACATCTTTGCTTCGTTGCAACAATAATCACATATTTTTTTTATTTTGTTTTTTGTAATTAAAAGAACTACAATAATTATTTAACGACTTTCTATAATATTTATATTTAAGTAATTTAATAATTTTGATACAATAAATTATTTTTTTTTGTGATCATCTATAAAATTAACCCTCAAATTGAATATTTTGATCTCTGTGTTTTTAGTATACTTCAATTATTATTA